TCCAAGTCCGTCAATATATGCACACAGTGTATGTATATACCATGTATATATATATATACAGTATATGCACGCATCGATGCCTTCCGCAAGAAACATGCCAAGACTGGAGGCTCAGAAAAGCGTCGGCCTGATCTTTTTCTCACCCCAACCCCGTAAGCTCTCTGAGACGTGCAGTCATGGGATTTAAACACCAGGACAGGCACCGTGTGAATTACTCGCCGTGGCAAAGAACCTGATGAATCTTAAGTAAAGATACTGGGAAGGCAAGTGTATTTTCACTGTTGGCATGACAAACTATGGCAAGCTTCATGCCACCAACAAAGCTTGAAACGCAACCAACCCTCCAAACCTGCACAACCAATGGGGGCCGACCCATTCTAGGCAATGTCTTGAGGCTAGGTTATGTTTCATATGTTTTGTCCGGCGCACATATGCACGCCTTATGACAACCGTTTCCAAGTCTATATATAAAAATTATAGATATATTTATAAATAAATAAATATATAAATATATATATATATGAAATGCCATCTCCCAATACCTTCTGGAAATCTTGGATTGCAATGCCTTTGGCATCTCATGCAAGAAAGGCCTTGGCCTCCACGAATCTGCAGGAAGGCAAGTTCACACAACACAGTTAGAATGTGGATGCAATAGAGGTACCGTATATCTATATACAAACACATGCAAGCAACATGGTATATATATATATATATCCGTTTCCAAGTCTTATGCATGAAAAGAACTCCAATGCCTTCTGAACATCTACGATTGCAGTCATGCATATCAGACAATGGCTTCCGTTGCACTGACATGACGGAGAGTCTGCAAGTGCTTGCCCCACAAGCGGTCTCTGGCATGCTTTGCACAATACCACTCGGCCAATCCCAAGAGCACGCCCAGCAAAGCTTCTTTCTCATTGCGACCTGTCGTGCCATCATGTGTCAGCGAAACAGAGCCGTTCTGAAAGAAGCCTTGCCAACTCCTCGAAGTCTTGTGGTATCCGATATAAGTCCCCGGCGGGACTTGTGCCAATCCTTTGCTTTCCAAGTGCTGGTAGGCTGGTCGATTGAAGAAGTCTTTGACACGGCGGACTGTGCCGGCACCCAACATGACTTCCCGCAAATCCTGCTCGTCATCGCTGAGTGCCATAACTTCAATCCCATCTCCATCCTCAAGAGCCATGGCCTCCTGGACCTGCGGATCATCCTCTGGCTGAGAGTCACCTGGATCTTCTTCATCTGCAAGGAATTTCTCCAATGAGCCAGCTACCCCGGCATCGGCAAAACAACCCGGCAACTCCTCAGTACTTGTTGGCGAGCCCTGCAGAAGAATCAATCGCTTGTTCTGGCCGTCACCGGTTTGGAGCATCAGATTCTGGGGGTCTGCGGACAAATGAAGCACCACCGAGAAGCACTCTGCTCGCAATCGGTCCAAATCAGCATTGCTCCGGATCCGGGTCACAAGGCATTGATGTTTCATGCTGAAGAGGAGACTGCATTGGCTCCTTTCTGCCACAAACGCATCATGCAGCTTTTTTTTGCGAAGGAGTCAGCACCTTTCCCTGAGCAAACCGAGCATTGATTCTCTGTGTCCACTTCTTGTTCTCTTCTGCCCAGCCAAGAATCTTTTCCTCCAGTGCCGGCCACATCCACTGTGGCAAAGACTGCCGCGAGTTCACATCCTCACCATCCTGGATGACCCACATCACCTGACGTTCATCCTTCATTGGAGTAGAGCGCAGAAGATCCAATTGCACATATTCTTCTGAGCTAGTCACCATCTGAGGTGCCTCTGTCAGCCTCAGTAGGGGCTCCATGCACCCGCGAGATCTCTTCAACTCCTGGTCGACCTTTGCTACATCACCTTGGTTTCAATAGAATCCCTCCTGGCAAAAACGTCCGTCATTCCAAATCATCCCCTTATATATATATATATGTGCAGGTATTACATACACGCTGGGACTTAAAGATAGAATGTCTCACGCTAAAAGGCAGTGCTTAGGCAGTGCTTAGAAAAAAGGGAACTGCTGCAACCTGATTTTGTGCAAATGGGCAAAAGTAAGCACACAGATAGAATGCCACCAGAAACATGATCCAAACGCTTCAAACCAGCTGTGTGCATCCCAAAACGTGTGTATATATATATATATACAGTTTTATATAGTTTGAGATGCTGCAGCACCTTTTCAAGGAAGCTCAGTGCACAAAATCCAGTGAAGCAGCAAAATGTTGTTATGTCCAACCTCTGAGAGTCCTCCAAAGCGCCACTCGGCAATCTGCTCCTTGGTCACCAATCCTCTGGACAACCACGCCGTCCATATGAGCCTGCCGGACCTCATTTTCGATTTAGTGTTTGTTGCAAAAATCCTTGGATGGTATTGGAAAATTAGACTTGGCAGTATGCAGAATCATACACACCCAGTGTGTTCAGACAGGTTTGTGAGCCCAATCATTATTGTAATTATATATATATATATATGTGGATGTATATCATATGTATGTTCTCTTTGTTGTCAACTCTCAAGAAGGATCTCTCTATATATATATAGGAACCAGGAAAACATACCAGACAAGGACAACCTCCATGAACCTATCTCATCCCTGTCAGTGTGTCTTCCTATTCTTCCAAAGTGATTTTCACCACTTCTCTCACCAAGCCACTGAAAAGAATTCAATGACTGCAATGCATATGCATCTCCCCGGATGGACGTCAACACCGATGACCTTGGCAACGGATGTGCTTGTGAGCATTTTGATTGTATATATATATATAGACCATACAAGTCTTCGTGTGCAATGTAAACACTTTGAAATCTCGGCACATGGAGAGTCATTCTATTTGTGACCCAACGAAAAAGTTCAAAGCAAGAACATATGCATAATTGGTTTCTCTGAGGAGCTTTGTTGTAACCGAAGATTGGACTGAAAGCTGGAGTTGATCAAGCTGTTTGCGCATAGCCAACGAGTCGCTCCAGCTCAGAGATGCCTTGCAGAAGGCATGAACTAAAGCGTGGCAGTGTTGATGCCAGCCATCATTTGGTGCCCCAGCGGCACCGAAGCCTCCGGGCACCGTGCATTCATCTTCCCCAGAAGCATCACTTTGGCCAGAAAGAATCACCTCAACGTCGGGGGGGGTTGGACATTAAGGGCTCATGCTACCAACCATCCCAAAAAACATCTCTAGCAAAATTCTTTCATTTTCCCCTTTTAAAACTCTATCAACATCTTAACTTTTTCAAGCTCACAAAGGGTACCCCTCACACAGGCCCTACCCCCCGAATTTTACGACCCCCCTATTAATCAATCCAACCTTGTTGACCTTGAAGGGGGGGTCCCCGTTGATTAATCCGGTGTTGCCACTGTACATATATAAAATGCTGCTAGGGTGCAACGTTGTGTTGTTCGCACCAAGCCTGCCTCAAACTCCTCCATTTGCCGGAGGAGTGTTGCGTGGCTTGGTCGCAGATCACCAAGCATTTGGCGGAGTGCTCAAGTCCCAACTCTCTCCTTCTGGCACGGATTTCTTCTCCTAAGAATGCCAGGTACCTTTGCATAGTACTGGCATTCCAGATGTGCGTCTTTGGCTGTAACGGGCCGATGTGAATCCATTTGCTGAGCTCATCGTTTGCAATCTTCCGGTCCTTCTCGGAGATCGTGCCCTCCCTGCAGGTAATAAACCCCCTCCCCACCGTTCCGTCACACCATGACAGCGTGCACAATGTGCGCGGAATCCGCCACCCCTCGATGGCCACGTTCGCGGCTTTGAAGCCTGTGATGGTTGGTTCTTTCACTTGGTGGTCACCATCATCTTTGTCCAAGCACTCCGAGTACGGTAGGCCAAGGGCACGCTCTAGGCAGTGCCTGACTTTCCTGAAAGACATCTGCTTTGCATGCGCATCCACGTGGGCATGCTTCACCAGGCTGGACGAGGATGGGCGGAATAGCAAAGACCATACTTGGTCGAAGTTCCCTATCATGCGGGGGTGGAATTCCCCATCTGCCACCTTGGTGGCTACCCAGGTGCGCACCCGGCTCATGGCTGGGTGAGAGAACTCCAGGTGCTTCCCTGGCTTTGAATTGGCTGCCAAAAGCAAACCCGCTCTCTTGCAAATCCTTTGTGCGTGTTTCCTCAACTGGTGCCGGCATCGTGTTTGACAATTAGGTGAGCTCAGTTAGAATGGGTTGATCAAAATCACAACCAGAAAAGAGCTTGAAGTCTCTCTGAAGGTGGATTGCCTATGTAACTTTGATCTGCTTTGGGGAGATGGCATGGTTGCAATATGTTGCAATCAAATGTCTTCAGGATACCTTTCCATATCATCCCCTCCACCTATATATATATATACAAAACACACGCGGGCCCCCTATCAACAAAAACTCGGGTGCATTGTTTTTATAGGGGTCCATGAAATCGGGGTTGTCCAAAATAGGGTCAGTGGCAGGATCCTTGAATCATTGATTAACCAAAAGTCACCGAGGAAACTTTTTATAGAATCCTTTATTTAACCTGTATCAAAAATTGAAAAGTCCTGGTGTCTCCTGATGTGTCTTTGCGCAAAAAGACTTTGCTGTTCACTCTTCAAAAGGGAGAGTTGAGCTGAACATACGGTAAACCATGTGCATCCAAGATTCACAAAGTTGTCACTCGTGTCACGCCATCCAATCTGTTTGAGGTTATCATAGATTCTGTTGCGAGCCTTCTGAATCTCCTCCTCAATTTTCTCGGGGCTTGCATCCTCCGACAAAGTGGACATCTCACGGTCAATCAAGGCCAACAGCTTCTCTGGGTTTTGTATCTCTTCTCGAAGCTTGACAACCGCATGGTTGTACTGCTCAATGCCAACCTTGAGGACGTCAGACACAAAGTGGTAGCTCACCTCCTCTCCCAGCTCAGCCCGTTCAGCCTTGCAGTGAAGCTCTTCGATTTCCTCTCCCTTTTTTCTCTATTTGTTCCTTTTTTCTTTCTCTCTCTCTCTCTCCCACAATTTCATCCCTACAGATAGAATGTGTGTTTATCCGGGTGCCCTGGAATGCCCTGGAAACCAAAAGTACCAAATTAACTGACTTTATACATATATATATATAATAAGTTCTCTTCAAGAAGCTATGATGTCTGTGACCGCGGTCTCCAAAGCTAAAGGCATAATTGTCGATACTGTGTTCTCAGGATCCTTCCCATTTCGATGCTGGAACTTGAGCGAAAGACCCAGAATTTGCCTGAGAGAATTGGGCACTTCCTTGCAAGTCTGCATCAGCTTTGGTGCGGTCGTGCACAAAACGGTCCATCTCTGTTGCTTTCTGGATTTCTTCCACTTGTACAGGCAACAATTGTAAAACCCTGGCAGGTTCAAATTCTTCACATGGTCCTGCACTTTGTCGATGTCCTTGTTTTCCAATGCTCGGTCATACGCAACCATCCTCGGAAGAAGGCTTGTATATAACCGGCCAGTATATACAAATATATGAATATATATAGTATTACGCACATTATGTCACATAGTAATAAATGAACATATTATATACAGGGAGACTCACAAACAAAATGCACCCCTTTCCATGTTTTTCCCTCTTTCTCTATTTTTTTCTGTATATACACATAAATGGGAATAGTGGAGTGAGGCACAGATAGAATGCATCCCTCTCCTTCCTTTCCTTTCCTTTCTTTTTTCTTTTGTCCTCTTCCCTTCCCCTCAAAAGGTCAACAGTCCAACATATAAATATGATATATATATATACACAGTGTATATACATGTATACACTCAGTGGCTCAAGGCTCAAGATTTCGGCTCAAAAAGGGCGACTGATTGGCTGGGCACATCGCGAGAACGTGCTGACGGCCCGGGAGATCAAGACGGGAAAGATCACCTTTTTGCCGAAGAATGAGAAGAGGGTACCAGGTGTGCTCTGGCTGCAGTGGCAGCTGGATTTGGCAGGACAGGCTCATCAACAAGCCGAACCTGAGGTGCCTGCAATGCAATAAGCCATGGCAGCAATCCAGGGTTCCTGACCTGAAAAGGCGGCCAGTCACATGGGCTGCTTGGAACTACCAGACGAAAGGCCACCAATGGCCGAAGAAAACTTACCAAGAAGCTCTTTTAGAACCACCTCCGGGCCTGTACGGAGGCCAACCGGCCAAGCGCGCCAAAAAGGTCAAACAGACCGCCCTATGCAAAGCAGTTCAGGAACACTGGGACTCCTTGCCGGACGCCATGAAGACTCAGTGTGAAGCCCTAGGTGTCCCGCCATCGACACCACCTCCACCACCTGATCTTCCGAGCTTGATCAAGGAGCATCTTCAGAGTTTGCCACAGGATCTGAAAGCTGCCGTTGAGAAGATTGTTGTTCCAGACAAACCGGAACCGACTTTGGCGACCAAGCTGAAGCAGTCGGTTGGGGCACTACGGCAATTGACTGACAAAAAGGCCGCCATCCAGTCGAAGGCTGATGCAGTGAAGGCACAGTACACTGCATTGCTTCAAGAGCTCAAAGAGCTTCAAAGCAAGATTGAGAGTGCTCAAAAAGATCTCCAACAGGCCACCACGCTCTACAACAAGCAGTTGGAAGAAGACAAGCAGGCAACAGCCGACAGCAATGTCGATCCAGACGAATTGACTCCAGAGAATCTGATGGCCATCATGGCCAGTGTCGGTGTACAGGCCACCTCGACACAGATTCAGGACTTTGCACACAAGCTTGTTGAGAATGTGTCAAAAAGAAGGAAGTGCGGGTAACCCTGCAACGCAGTTTTTCATGATCAGAGAAAGCGCTCAGACACTTTGCACACATCATGGGGGAAATGATGTCAGCATGGAGTCTGATGGGGAAGATTTTGGCTCAGGCGATCAAAGGGACCAGATGGCCGAGCCTGGGGCAGCATCACCTTGCTCCAATGAGGTGATGCTTGAGGATGGCAGCAGCTATCCGAGTTTTTGTGGAGGCGCTGGAACCCAGGCGGAGAACCTGGACATTGCAGCGCCTATGGAAGTTGACCAACATGGGGAAGATAGGCAGGTAGCCCAGTGCCCTCTGGACTACGTGCTCCAAAATTTGCATTGCCGCCTTGGCAATCCTCGAAACAGATGCTATGCTAATGCTCCTTTTCGCCTCTGGGCCTGGTCAGGAAGTTTCTTGGCTGGACCAAAGATGTGGAACCACACCGCCAAGGCAGTTCAGGCTGCTCTGGCCGATGAGGAGATAGTTCAGTTGCCGCAGCTTCAACCTTTGAAGCCTTTGTGGCAAAAATTTGACGAGAAAACCCAGGATGATGCAGCCCATTTTCTTCTTGAGTTGAAGGACTTGGCACAACCCCAACAGGTGATCACGCAGTATTACCACATTGACCATCGACAGGAGGTGCATCAGAGAAAAGAATTTCCTATGCACTTGATCTTTGAAGACAAAGGTCACCCGCAAGAATTTGAAGAGCTCATCAGCAACTGGGCAAACCAAGCAGAAGGCCAAGTGTTAGCCGGCAGAGGGCTTTGGGTGGCCCAAATTGGCAGGTACACTTTCCAACACTTGGAGTGGACCAAACATCATCAGGTGTTGCATGTACCTTCGGTTTTCAATCTGCCGTACACTTTAGATGGCAACAAGATCCAGACAGAACAGTATTCCTTGATTGGCCTGTTGTGTCATTCTGGCACAGCACACAAAAGTGGACATTTCTTTGCAGTTTTTGCCTACCGTGGACTTTACTGGATTGTCGATGACGGATCCTATCCCAGACCGGTGGCACGCTTGCAAGACAGCCTTTTGACACAAATAGTTCAGATTTGGGCCATTCCCTCCGACATGGTGTTGCCGGAGCACATCCCATCTGACATTCTGGCCAGTCAGACGGAGCTGAGTGAAGTGCAGGCACACAAACGCCATTGTACTCATGGTGTTGGCTTTTCCTTTGCAAATGTCACGACTCTTGGCCAAGCAGTGCGGCAATGGTTGCTTGGCAGAGAAAGAACGCCAATCTTCCTGGCGGAAACTCATTTGAGCCCGGAAGACCATGACAAAACACTGCAATGGTTTGCTACCAGAGGCTACGGCATCATTGGGGAAGCCGCAGCGGTAAGCCCCAAAGGAGGCACAAATGGAGGCCTCTTGCTGGTTTTTCCGGCGAATCTGCATTTCCACTACGTTCAAAAGCAGATCATTGACGGTTGTGGGTGGTTTGCAGTACACTGGACTTTCGAAAACTTTGATCTCATCTTGGTCATGGTATATTTTAAGTGTGGAGAAGGCCTGCAAGGAGCCACAAATTCTTTGCTGTGGTCCGGGCTCCTCACCTTTGTCACCAGTCTTGCCAAGCCGGTGATAGTGTTTGGAGACTTCAACATCACACCAGAGGAATTCATGGCCACCACGATGGGCACCATCATGCAGGTGCAAGTCTTAGCAACAGGCGAGGAAACCTGTGCCACAGGGAGGGAACTGGATTGGGCTTTGGTGACCACAGCTCTTCTCCCTGAAGTCCGCATTGAAGCCAACTGGATGGTCCCTTTCAAACCGCACGCACAGATAAACCTGCACCTGGCCAAAGATCTACATCAAGTGACGGTCACACAGATACAGCGACATCAGCCTGCGCCCAAACTGGAGAAAATCAGCCTGGAATGGACACAGCTTGCTGAGATTGACCTTCCTGTGAAATGGCTTGGAATGCCCACCAACCAGATCACGCAACAGGCAGGACAGCTGTATCACAAGATTGAGCGCTATGTTCTGCAACAGCATACAACTCCCAGTTATGGCCGTGTCACTACTTTGAACTACGTTCAAAAACCGCTGAATGATCCGAGCAAACCATGGTTGTGGAAGAAAGGGTCATTGGCCTACTGGTCCCAGTTGGAAATCAGATTGCAACAGCACATGCATCGGAAGAACTCAGAGGACAGACAGATGCATCATCTAGAACGCCTTGGTTGGCATGTTGATCGCAACTGGCATCCGGACAGCAACATGACGCTTGAAGGTTTCAAACTCCTTTTTCAGATGCTGTGGAAGAGTCATGATGTCGAGCGCATTCAAGTCCTTCTACAAGCCGTCAAGCAGCAATGGGAACTTCATCAACAACAGGTGTTTGACACAGAAACACAAGAGTACAGAAGTTGGATGCAAGCTGCCTCGCTCTCAGGCTGCAGGGGTCTCTTCAGAACCCTCAAAAAAGATGAAATGCCTTATGCGAGGCCCTTTCAAGATTTCCCTCGTACAGAACGGATGCAGCACAGACTCCAACAATGGGGGGAAATCTGGCAGACGAGAGAGCAGCCACTTGAACCCAAAACGATACAAGCGCTCATCTACAAGGGTCAAGACTATGCACGTGAAACGCTCCAGCCACTGCATGTGCATCAAGTGTGGAAAGTGATCAAACGCCTCAGCCACAAAGCGCCTGGCCTTGATGGAGTTGGCTATGACTTCTTCAAAGAGCTCCCTTATCAAGCCATCCCGGACTTGATACAGTTTTTCCATGAGATAGAGGCCACGGCGAGCATCCCAAATCAATGGACCTCATCCTTGATTGCCATGCTGCCCAAAAACAAGGACATCGAGAGGCCGATTGCATTAGTTGCAACCTTGTACAGGTTATGGTGCAAGGTCAGAGCTCCATACACAAAGCAATGGCAGCAAGAGATCCAAGATGTGTACAAATGGGAACGAGCAGTTCCTGGCACAGAATGCCTCAAAGTTGCGCTGAAACGGGCCTTCATGACCGAGCACCATCATGCCCTCAAGCGCACAGTTGTCTCAGTGCTCATGGACATGTCCAATTTCTATGACAGAATTGACTTGGAGAAGCTCACAGAGCGTTGGCTTGACTCAGACTACCCGGCCACACATGCTGCCCTGGCCATGCAGATTTACTGTGGCAGTCGGATCATTGAAGCTGAAGGAGAAGCATCCAAGATGATTTGGACCAGCAATGGCATCTTGGCAGGGGATCCACAAGCACCTTTGGCTGCCAAAATTTACCTCAAAGAAGCCTTGCATGCTTTCTGCAAGCGATTCCCTCAACTACAAGTTGATCTTTGGATAGATGATCTGAGCTTCGACATTGTTGATCGTGATCCAGCAAATGCTGTCAGATTGGCCATTGCAGCGTTTCAGTATATCAAAGGTCTCTTGGAGGCGGACAATTTGAAAGTGTCAGACAAAAAGACGGGCTTCATCACCTCGAATGCCACGGCAAAGAAACTTCTCCTTGAACAGCTGCCAAAAAATGGGCCAGGTGTCCATGATGTGATGCGAGACCTTGGTGTAGATTGCACAGCAGGTCGTTTGAGACGCATAGCCACGATGAAGTCTCGAAGATTCAAAGCCAACAAAAAGACTCAGAAGATGAAGGCCTTGAAGATCCCACAACGAGCAATTCGCTTGAGACTGTACAAGGGCAGTATCCTGGCCAGCATCAGCTGGGGACATGAGGCAATGGGCCTGGCTCCACAGGTCCGAAAACGCATCAGAGCCACCATGGGGCGGCAGCTCGGTCATCAGAGAACCGGGAACTTGGACATTGTGTTCGACATGCACAGTGGCCATCAAGATCCAGACTATGCTGCGTTCTATGACCAAGTCAAGATCTTCCGGCATTTTGCGGGACAGTGGCCAGAAGCTCTGAAAAGAGACTTAGAGAAATCCTGGGCTCATCACCAAGAACGCCTGGCCCAGGCAGTTCATCCTTGGCAGGTGACACGTGGACCCATGGCAGCGCTGCAATGCTACCTCCAGGAAAAGGGCTGGTCAGCCATCACGCATCAAGAGTGGACCAAAGATGCCAGCAACGGAGCACCAGAATTCAGGATCCTGCTGAGCGACCCATGGCCTACCATCAAGGCTGAGCTCAAACGGGCTGAAAGCAGTGACAGATTGCTACGCATATCCTCCAGAAGCATGCTCCAGGAAGTTCAGCAACCTTTGGACTGGCTCCCATGGAGAAGAATGAGCAAAACGCTCAGTCAACACAATGCATGTGCTCTACAAACATGGCACCAAGGGGCACTTTTTACAAAGTTCAGTGATGCCGTGGAAGGGCAGCATTTGCTTTGTCCTCACTGCTCCCAACCGGCAACTACGGTGCATTTGCTCTGGCTATGCAAAGAAACCAAGGCACATTTCCCTGCACTTCCGGCTGCCGATCAGTTTGAGCTTGAGCATGGCTTGAATTTAGAGTTTTGGGCCCAAGGCTTACTCATGGTGCCGAGACTGCAGCAGTCCACCGGAGGAGCCTCCGTTCAGGCCTGGGGAACGTGGACGGCGCAAGACGAAGCTAGGATTGAACATCCAGATGTGGTGACAATTGGCATCGCCCCCACTTCCACTGATGTTCGCCTCAAACACTATGCAGTCTCCATTGTCCACCACACCCAACTTGGAGGACAGTTGTATCGCCAAGGGGCCGTGATAGCAATTTTGCCAGGAAAACAGAGCTGGGAACGTGCATGGTACTATGGACTCCGCATGATAGCTCATTATGTTTCCTTGCAGCAGAGACTGGTGGTTCACGTGCAAAGCACACGTGCATGGGAGTGCTGGCAGCAAAACAAACATGCCGAAGTGTTTCATGATTTGCGTGACCTGATCACTTGGGATCAAAAGCAGCGAATCCGTGTGCTGTGCATCAATGCCAAACAGCTCAAGGAGATGCCAAGCAATGAATGGTCTCTCCGCAACAGGATGGCGGATGCAGCCAAGGCGGCTAAGGAAGTAGCCTTGTCGATGCAACCTTTTGAGCAAGAGAAAGAATTGTTGGAGCAAGATCAACGCTACAAGCGCATTGCACCACTAGCGATTCAGCGCATCAAGCATTTGCTCAGTGACAAGCAACACTTCCTACATGAAGCACGAGAGACAGGCAAGCAAAAACGGGCGGAGGCCCGAACAAACAAGCAAGATGCACTCACTAGCCTGACACACAACGCAGGCCAGGGATCACACACATGGGTTGCCAAGGGCAAAGGTGTCCAGTGTGCCACTTGCAAGAAGCGGCTCACTATGCACAGTAAACACCAAGACATCCTTGCAGGCAAGACCGAACAGTGTGCTGACAACCCACAACCACCCCTTGTTGGAGGTGAAACGGCCAGTCAGACCAAGTCTGCATCGTTGCAAGAGATGATCAGAGGCCAAATCCCAAACATGGCACCACGCGAGTTTGAGGAAGCCAAGAACTACATTTCCTGTGTGAAATGCCATGTCCAGTTGCTCAAGAACTCCTCACGAGAGAAGCTGCTCGAGTTGGCTACCATGCCATGTTGGAACCAACTGTGGAGCCCGGAAGGCTGGCAGGGACACCCTAGCCATCGGATGTGGCGCAGAGGTGGAAAGCTGTGGTGCCAAGCTTGCAAGGCACATGCGCTAGTCCACCCTTTCAGGACAAGTAAGGCCTTGAAAGGCCCATGCTCACAGCAGAAGGGGCAAAAGCAGCTACCCATCTGCTTCCGGCAAAAGGCCGATTGAGAACATGCAGTTGGAAAAGAACCGCAGAAAAAAAATGTATACACTCAAGCGACTGCGTTTCTGTGCCTTTGTGCAAACAGATCTCACACTTAGAATGTGCTGAATGGCATTCGACCTTCTTTATATATGTCAGATACATTTTGCTATATGTCAGATACATCATGCAAAAATCCCAAAATCTGGATCGTTTCTGTCTCAACTAAGGACGTGTCACTTGTTCTTTTTGCCAAATGGTGGCGCACTTGCGCTTTCCTTTGGCCTTCTTTCTGCTGTCCACATTAGCGACCTTGCGTGTATACTTCGATCTCTTCTTTCTTTGTTTCAAGGATTTCACAACAACAGGATCAGCAGCTCCATACTCTGGGGCCGGCTGCTTCCGCTTCAAGCGGCGGAGAATGGGCTTCTCAGACTCACAACTGGTTCCAGCTGTTTGCCAGGCACCGCGGCAACAAACCAAGGATGCAAGGGTCACTGCCTGAGCCACGGTTGAGGAAAAGGAGTTCCCTGCCAGCTCTTGAGCAGATGTTTCAAGCATTGTGTCATACACATGGCTGTTGAAGCAAGATCTCCATAACCCCTGAGCGTTCAGAAAGTCCTGCGGCCCCAAATACCTCTCAAGACGTTGACTGTAAATGGCGTGCGTAGGAGTCACACAAGGGCACACTCCATCTGCAAAGGTGGTGCGTTTGAGAGACGCTGAACAGTCGATGAATAGATTCTTGGAAGTCGGCCTCGCAACCTGAGCCTTCTGCATGAGCTTTGTGTGGCGGCCAGCTTGCAATGCCTGTGTCGGTGCGTGTGGAAAGTTCAACTCCATAGGAAACTGCATATTGCTTCTCATTGAAGCCAGGAGCAGCTTGTACTCATCTTGAATCTCTTTCTGGCTTTGGTGCCCAGTGATGATCGAAGCAATGCCCCACACCCGCTGTCTTCGTTGTGGAAGCAAAAAGTCTTGTGAATCTAGAATGTCATAGACCTGAAATGCGCGCGCTTGGCAGAATGTCCCAAACAGTGTCAAGCTGAGAAGAGGGCCACTTCTCTTATATATTTGTTGCATCTCTATATATGTTGAGTATACATTTGCGTGATGAAGCCAGCACGTTGTCAACCTGTTATATAGCCACTCCCACCACACTCCCACACATACCAACACACGTCCACAAATTCCTTCACACGCTTAACAAAAAAGCTGGTTCCAGGTAGACAAGACACGAAATGATAGCCCAATTCCAAAACGTCTTGCTCCACTGTCTTCACAGGTGGTTGCGCAGGAGGGGCATCCTTTGGGTATGAAAACTCTGCTGCAGCACGCACATTCTCGAACACAGCCAATGCTGGAGATAAATTGCGAAGTACCTGAGCTGCAAATGCTCTCTCACAAGACCTTGGTCACATGAATCCCCAAGAATTATACCAGCATAGACCCCAAACAGCGTCAGCATTTTTCTAAGATAGAACCCCAACAGTAAACTGTTTGGGGAAAAATGAAATTGGCAACACAGTTAGAATGCGCGCGCAACTGAGTTGAGACACGTTCTTGAATCCGTGCTTGTATGTCGGACCAGAGGTCCCTGGAGTGTCTTCAGCATCACTTCCTTGGTAACACCCGTAGTAGCTTCCACGGTCGGCGTTCAGCTTGCTGAGGTTCTTGCAGCTTGGACCGCAGAACAACACGTCTATGGGACATGTGCTACTGTCTATGTTGTGCACTGTCCTGCACACATAGCAGTATCCACGCTTTGCGGAGAAAACGTCAACATTGTCGAAGCAGTGTTGGAGTCCAGTCTCCATTTGAAGGATTAGGTTCCTTTTCTTCTCATTGGACTCGCAACTGAAGATGTGAGCAACTTTGACTTGCTGACCCTGCAAGGCAAGGGGCAAGGAGCTCAAAAGAGGACTACCACCCATTTCTGAGGTGTCCCTATTCAAAGTGAACAATTTCTGGGCAGAATGCTCTATATATATATTATATATATATAGCGCTCTTGATTTAGACCTGGGTGTATAATAAAGGACTCAAAACCAGTCTGATAAATGCAAAAGACTCAAAACCCGTCTGATAAATGCAAATGCATTCGTCTATTCATGCGCGCGTGTGTGTTTGTGCACTTGAATCGGGCAGCGGGGCCTCACACCCACCGAAAAACGTTGCCAACTGCTTCATGACGGCCACCACAATGTCTGATCCACTGCATGTTGTGCCCAGCCGTATGGTCTTTCCCATGAGATTCTTGACTTGGTCCGCCAATAAATGCTGCTGCTCCGGCGTGCGTCGGTGAATGAAAAATTCAGCCGTCTCTGCCAAGGACAAGCTAGCAGGACCCTTCGAGGCAGGTCCAGGACTCAACAGGCTTCTCGCCAACTTAAATGTCCTGTTGGGGTGCCGGCTTGGTACCCACCAAACCCGACATGCTTCTGAAAAGACATCAATATCAGAGAAGCTCCAAGCCCACAACAATTTGTTGCCCCTGAAGGATCTTAAACACTGCCTGGAGTACACTTGGTTCCACTTCGGGTCAGAATCCGAAGGCATCTTAGCGAGCTGTTCAATGCATCTGATCACGACTCTGCCCACCAAATCATAGCCTTCTGTGCTCCGGACTAGAACCAGAAGAGAGTCATCTTTTGTTCTGAAAGGGCGAACGATGCAATTTGATTCTTTGCACAGAGCAAACCATTCTTGATCCAACATCACCACGCATGTAAGCCTTGGATCCCCCTCAAGGGATTCAGCACACATATCCACATCATTGATCCCGTCCTCCAACTCCATCTCGTCATCCAGCGCTTCCATGCCTTTGTCATCTTGCTCATCAAGATGATTCTGGCTTGTCGCGTGCCTTTTCGCTGGTGGAGGGGTGGCTTCAAGGAATGACCCTGTTCTGCTTCGACTTGAAGACTGCTGGGTGTCGGATGAAATGACAGTGGAGGAGGAACCATGGTGCTGCACAATGTTTGGTGGACACTCCTGCCAGGTTGCAAATGGTACACATTCTAAGTGTGCATATACTGTTTGTTTCATCTCTCTCTATATATATGTGCAGTATCTGACATTCTATATAAGTGTTTGTTTGTTTCATTTGCAATATCATCATAACTTCCATGAATGTTTGTCAATCCCGGGTGTGGTTCTTGCGCACCTGCCAAAACAAAAACACGTGTTCTAAAGCATAAGCAAATGTAAAACAGGAATACCGCCAGATCTCACCCTGCCCTTGTGATTAGCGCAGCTATGAGAACAGAATTCCTCTTCCAAATCCCCCGTACAAACTCTGATCAGTACACTCCCGCGCAATATATATATATATTATATATTACATATATATATATACACAGTATCTCTTCTCTATATATAGAGAGAGACGCAGGAAGGCAAGAAGTGAGCCATTATATATATATATAAGCAGGTTTACAGGCAGCGTGCAAGAGCTCCGGCGGAAAGAGCATTGCTGCTTACCACAGATGGCTCAGAAAGCGTGGCTCATACCTAGATCCAACCACAATTCACGCGCTGCACTCCTTTCCTCTCCTATATATCCTTCCCAATTCCTCACACACATATATATATATATATACATATGCATATCCTCCCTCACTTCTCCTCGTTGCATCCTCTTCAGGATTACGGCAACAGTGCATGCTGGTGGTGGCTGTTTTTTGTCAGACATGGCCTCCTTATGCACTGGCATTCCTTTTGGAATTCCTAGTCCCAGTCACACCTACCCTGCAACCCAGTCCAGTCCTTGGCAACCAGTCTTTGTGTGTCCTGGTTTCACCCTGGGTGCCCAGTGAGGACCGAACACTCCTGAGGCCCTTTCGGATTCAGTGTGGGTGTTTGGGTGTGTGTGTGTGTGCACCTTGGATTCAATGGTATATATATATATAGTCACGGACTGAAAGATAGAACCACGTCGGCTCGTACACAATGCTCCACCTCACACTTAGAACCACGTTCTCCGCGAGGAAAATCGCCTTTGTGGGATTTTGTCAGGTAAATATCAGCAAAATGGAGTGTCGCCCACCTACACTTAGAATGTGGGCTCGCCGGCCCAGGTTGGCCTGAATGGGGTAAGGGCCATGAATGGTGAATATTTCAATTTTAGTGCGGCATTCTAAGTGTGTGCATGATTGTGTGTAGAAAAGTTAACGGTTGGGAAAAATAGCGGGCTGAAAGATAGAATTTGACGTGGCTCTAACTCGTGTGACCTAGACAGGGTTCTAAGTGTACACCTTCTACGGACGGACGGTCCACACGTAGGGGTTCTATCTTTCAGTCCGGAACTATATACATATATTACCGAGTTGTTTTTCCTACATTGCAGGGGGGCGGTCCAACGAAGAGGCTGCTATGAGTCACTGATATGGCTGGTTTGCGAGTGGCATGTGTGAGGCCCGTGTGAGGGTACCCTTTGTGGACTTGAACACCTTAAGATTTTGATAGAGTCTTAATAAGGGAAAATGAAAGAATTTTGCTAGAGAGTTTTTGGGGATTGTGGAATAAAGATCCTAGATTGTAGCTCTAAACACTATATATATACATGTATACTGAGAGTTTCCCACAAGAGCGTTCCACAAGAGTGTTCTACAAGAGTGTCCTACAAGGGTGTCCCACAAGAGTGTCCTACAAGAGTGTCCCACAAGAGCGTCCTGCAAGAGTGTAGAGTGTCCTACAAGAGTGTTCCGCAAGAG